CTGTCCGCCACTCGAATTTCTTTTAAGGGAGACACTAGTGCTCGGACGCCTGCACCTTCTCCCTGGCACCCTCCTCTCTCGCGCGAGTCCGGACGCTCGGGAAAAATGCCGCGCCCGGCGCTCCTTCTCCCTAACCCCCTCCTCTCTCTTCGCAAGTCCGAATGACGGCGCCTCCTCCACGCGCCCGCCGCTCCTTTCCCCATAACCCCTTCCTCTCTCTCCACGCACGGAGCCAGGATGAGGACGAGTACGCCCCGTCTGCGCGACTCTAGGTGCGCCGCGCACCTCAGCCGCCGGCCCCTAGCATGCGCCTTCCATTGGCCCCGGCTCGCTGTGCCCCATCCCCTGGAGCCCGGGCCATGCCCCCATGACTCTCTACCTATTAAATATGAAACACTTGGATGCAACATACGTCTGAAGCAGATGAAACATTTGAAATATACACTTGAACATGTGTGTGAAACATATGCAATATCCAAATAAAACACTTGCAACATGAAAACACTTATTTGCAACATAAGACTGAAACAACTTAAACATTTCGAACATACTCTTGCAACATATGTGTGAAACATATACAACATTCAAATCAAAATGCTTGCAACATACATCTAAAAACAGATGAAACATTTTGAACAAACGCTTACAACATGCCTTTGAAACACTTGCATCATATACAACATCCCGATTTAATTTTGCAACATCCATAGACACTTGCAACATACTTATGAAACGTCTGAAACACTTGAAACATACATTTGCATCATATGGGAGGGGGGCCGGGGCCGGTAGATTTCGGCCTCAGGGTGGGAGCCAACGGCGCGCGAGCTCCACTAGCACGGGGTCACACTCGTGGTGCCCTTGACTCGGCCAGGACTGACCTAAGGCGTGCGACGACAGCACCAACACCAGCAGAGGCGAGCGACGTGGAGCGAGCGGCCCGACCAGCAGAGGTGGGCGCACGCGACGGGCAGGAGATAGGAGCAAGCAGCGCAGGCAGGGCGCGTACGACGGGGAAGAGACGGCAGCAGCGAAGCAGAGTGGGGGCGCGCGGCATCGAGACGGATGCTCGTGTGGGAGCATTACCGTTGTTTTATACCTTTACGTAAATAATACTAGACTTTCGGCCTGTTCGCTGGTTGGTTTCTGGGCTGGCTGATGCTGGTTTGTTGTGAGAGGAAAACACTGTTGGCTGGCTGGTTTGGGCTGACTGAAACCAACAAGCGAACGTGGTGTTTGTAAGAACGTGTATTGGTAGGATCAACGAACATGAAACTATCAGCGTGATTCCACCGAAGTTTGACTTGTCATGTAACTTTTAAAGGAATAACTTACTGGTTCTACAACAAAATCTCAATCATCCCGTAGATAGAAATAAAAGTAGGGCCTGTTTAGTAGAGCTATGCTTTACTTGTGGAGTATTTTTTTTTCTTCAGCTCCATGATCAACTTCATTGGTGGAGTTAAAACTGTTTTATTAAAAATATTTAGTAAAACAACTCACGGTAGATAAATGAGTTGTTTATAATACCCTTAATCTTATTTTCTTCATTTATTATACCTTTAGGGTACGTTCGGTTTCTAGGTATTCAAGGCCTGGAACGGATCCAGCTAGAAATACTATTGAATTTTATACGGTCATGCATCACCGGGATAAGTTCCGACAGGAATGGCCTCAACCGAACGGGCCCTTAATCTTTTTTCTTTTATTTTCTTTCTTCCTTTTTCTTCTCTGCTTTCTTCCTTGTGCACAGGAGGCACTCCGCTTCCCTCGCTCGAAGGTTCTTCCGTACTGGCAGCCCCCGGGCCCTGCGCCGCGGTGGCCGATGTCTCCACGGCCCTACATCCAGGCTCTCCGGCAGCCTCGCGACTCCATGCCCCGACACCCCGGTGACCAGCGTCTCCGTGGTCCTGCGCCCCCGTGCCCCGCTCGCCGCGGCTCCATGGCCCGGCGGCGCCGCACCCCAGTAGGCCTCACCCGCGCAAGGGCATTTTAGAGAAGACCGCATGCATCGACAAGAAGCCGAGTGGAGTTTTTTTTTTTCACTGCCCAGAGAGCAAAAATTGCAGGTGAAGCGGGGCGGAGCGGCTGTCATTCGGACTCGTTTGGTTGGCGACAAAGCGAAGCTGCTTGTAGAGCGGTTCCAGAAGCGCTACCAAGCGCGGCCTTAAGTAGCCTCTAACAAGAGTTTTCATGGTCTTATAAAACTTTAAAAGAATCACATGCATGCGAGATTCCATAATTGATCACTAGTCATGTGCGATAAATATTACACTGCCTCAACCTTGTCACATTCTCTCTGTTTCATTTTAATCGTATCCGTCACACAACGGAAGTCCAAAGATATTTCAGAAAAGTTGAGCAAGATAATAAGACATGAATACAGGTCAACATAACTCAGCAATGCATACATCAGCTCAGCAGTTAAGCAATAAGGAATACGGCCGAAGATATGTTTGTCAAGCATACAAATACTGCTCAAATGAAGCAAGTTCATGGCAGTGCACTTTCTTCAAGGATAACAACACAATTGGACAAGGATCAACAATGTTCGTACTAATAGCAAGAGATATCCATGTACATGAACTCCGTTTCAAAGGCATCACCTAGGCGTCCAGGCGTACCCAGCTCACCTTCAGGAACGCCTAGTTCCCTTTGAAACCATGTACATTAAGTCGACTCAAACTAGACAGATTATCAAGGCCTAACAGAAATTAGACAATCATCTTTGTTACAGCTTATAAGACATGGAAGCTGCAAAATAGCATTAGATGAACAAAAGCGAGATTGATAATATAAGCCAGCACTTAAATTACAGGTAGATGGTCTAAGCAGGTGACTAGAGATCCTATCTTCACCCTTCACGAACCACATTAGACAGAAGAGTAGAATATAGCATCCTTGTGGCTCCAATTTCTACTCCAAAGTCTTCATTTCATCTAACCTGAAACCTGATCAATGTGAAAACAGGAATAAGATCCGAGGGGAATAGAGTAAGAAATTAGAAATTATCTAGCCATGGGCACGGTTGAGGGTTGACGACATATTTACGCTTGATTAAACTTCAGAACAATGCAGTTATGCCAAAGTTGGGTAAGTGTTCTATTAAAATGAAATTAGTGTTAACTCTCACAATTATTAGATCATTTTCTACCAGTGTTGACCTAATCATTTCACCACAAACACTAGTAGCAGAAACAACCGATTCAGCTCATTATGAGAATACAATGGATTAATAATACAAAACCTAGCAGATAAAGTAGACTTCGAAGCCAACAACTAAACAAATAAACCAACAACAACAACAACAACAACAACAACAACAACAACAACAAAGCCTTGAAGTCCCAAACAAGTTGGGATAGGCTAGAGTTAAAACCCAACAAAAGTCATCAAGGTTCAGGCACGTGAATAGCTGTTTTCCAAGCACTTCTATCTAAGGCTAAGTCTTTAGGTATATTCTATCATTTCAAGTCTCCTTTTATTACCTCTACCCAAGTCAATTTCGGTCTTACTCTACCTCTCTTCACGTTACTATCCCGGCTTAGGATTCCACTACGCACCGGTGCCTCTAGAGGTCTCCGTTGAACATGTCCAAACCATCTCAACCGGTGTTGGACAAGCTTTTCTTCAATTGGTGCTACCCCTAATCTATCACGTATATCATCGTTCCGAACTCGATCCCTTCTTGTATGACCGCAAATCCAACGCAACATACGCATTTCCGCGACACTTATCTGTTGTACATGTCTTTTCGTAGGCCAACATTCTGCACCATACAACATAGCAGGTCTAATCGCCGTCCTATAAAACTTACCTTTTAGCTTCTGTGGTACCATTTTGTCACATAGGACTCTATGAACCAATTTGGTTTCATGCCCGGAAGGTCAACCATGGAAGCCATTTTCTTAATAAGACAAGTTATGGAGCGGTATAGGGAGAAGAAGGACCTACACATGGTTTTTATTGACTTGGAGAAGGCTTATGATAAAATACCAAGGAATGTTATGTGGTGGGCTTTGGACAAACATAAAGTCCCAACGAAGTACGTCGGGCTCATTAAGGACATATACAACAATGTTGTGACTAGGGTTCGAACAAGTGATAGAGACACGGATGACTTCCCGATTAAGATAGGACTACATCAAAGGTCAGCTTTGAGCCCTTATCTGTTTGCCTTAGTGATGGATGAGGTCACAGGAGACATACAAGGGGACATCCCTTGGTGTATGCTTTTCGCGGACGATATAGTGCTAGTTGATGAAAGTCGGACAGGAGTGAATCAGAAACTAGAATTATGGCGGGAGACTTTGGAGTCCAAAGGTTTTAAACTCAGTAGAACTAAAACTGAGTATATGAAATATGACTTCGGCACTACTACTCGGGAGGAGGAAGATATTAGTTTGGAAGGTCAAGTAGTGCCTAGGAAGGATACCTTTCGATATTTAGGATCAATGCTAGAGAGAGAGAGGGATATTGATGAAGATGTTAGCCATAGAATTAAAGCAGGGTGGATGAAGTGGCGCCAAGCATAAACAAAAGATAAATTGGATATGACAGTATTGGCGATTTATATCTCACAATATTCTCGGATACTTCATATCTCACAGAAAGAACTGACACAGAAATGAAAAAATAAAAAATTGAATGATTATACAGAACTACAGCCTTTTTGAACAGGTAACAACATAACTTCACCAGAGCAAGGGAAAAGCTAGAATAAAAAGAGAATTCATGGAAGAGAGTTGAAATTCATCTATAAATTGGCACCTTAGGTCCAACCAGTCCTGATTTCCTAACTAACTTCATAGGCATACTTTCTTTCATACAAATGGACATTACATTAAATGTTAGGAATATAAATGCATGAGGAGTGTTGCAAGTTATCTTACATATGTTAAGTGCAGACAGGAACTTCATAATCTTGAGAACTCTATCGGCAACCACTTCACACTTGATCTCAACTATCTTAAGGTGTTCTGAAATTGCAGTTGATCTCTTCATTGAACTGACACGTAGTTTGATTTCCACTTTATGTTTAAACCACTGCAGAGAACAACCAAGCATGATCAACTGTCAACTAATAACTCTACAAAGTAGCAGTTGAGCATTTGTGAAGTGCATACCATGTTGTGGAGTTCAAAACTGAGCTTCTCTAGAACAGGTGAATGTTCAAGAATGCACGCTAGCATGGAAATCATCAGCCACATACCAGTAGCCATTCAGCAACAAGGTCTTGAGATTTGTAAACACAGGGCACCATCTCAAATCTCTTTTAAAAATAAACTGCACAAAGTGCAAACAAAAAAGATGAAATAATCAACACTGTGAACGTATTTGATTCATAACCATAGTTGGTGGCAGTGCATGCAAAAAAAAAAGCATCATATATCAAATTTCAACTTGACGACACCTAATACAAAAAGGGTAAAAGATGAAACTTTAAAGTAAAACTATACCATGTTAGATGCAGATTTCAACGCCAAGCTCTTAGCCTCCAATAAACCTCTTAGAAGCACACAGTTGATGTTGCCATTGGCTGTGCTATCAGAACTATTACAAGATTCACAATCACAAGTCCAAAAGTAATTTGCATTAGTGCAGCGGTCCCTACACCCCCCTGCTATTTTGACAGATGCCTCAAGTAATGAGGGCATCCCCTCAAGAATGGGAGTCCTCCCCTCAAAATGCTCAAGGCGCAGTGAGGCAACATTTGGGGTGTAAATGTTGATGCGAGAATCAGAGCTGCCTACGGAAAAAATGATGATAAGATGTTTCAGGGACTCGGACACAATCTTGTTGACCGATGACAACTCACAATCCATGAGCTTTAGATGATCCAAGGATGGACAGTTTGTAAAGTTAAGAAAACTGTTGTGGACCTGTACACCAGCGAGCTCCAGCCTCCTCAGGTGCTGGGAGATGAGAGGCAGGTTGTCTAGTTGAAGACAGGGCTCATCCAGACTGCGTACAAACATAGAGAGGCTGAGAACATAAACTTTGCACATCACAACATGCTGGAACCAGAGGTTTACGTGGGACACATCATCATGGCTGCTGAGATGAGCATTGAACGTGAAATAGCATTTCTCGAGGGGTGAATCTCTGCGGAGGAGCAGCAGATGGTTCACCAAGCTCCGGAGATCCTCCACAGACTCCAGTTGATCTGGGTCGACGGACCCCACCCACAGGCCATCTGCGGGCGAGCACGTTCGTGCGGATGGCCTCCTCAGACGGCAAGAAGCCAAGGACGTGTTCAAGGACTCCATCAGGCAGGGGTTCAATGCCCCTGCTACTGCCAGCGGCCTGCAGCACCCCTCCCTTGGCCGTTTTCCCTTGAGGCATTTTGTCGAACAGCAACCGGGCCTTGGCGCTGCAGGACAAGATACGGTCAGAAGACGCGGATCAGTTATGCTGAGGGCAAACAGACGACAGGCGGCGAGCGAGACGGAGACCTCGCTGGAAGGCTGGTGCCGGCCTCACCTCACTGTCGGCGGCAGCACTGATCTCGCAGACAGCCCATGTCCCTGGTCGCTCACGCACTGGCCTCTGGCCGGCTGGGGCAGGCCGTCACCCGCCTCCGCTTTGCTGGCTGGCCGCCCTGCGCCCGGACCGGCTGGTACCCGGCCGTCTGGCAGCCGGTCGCCTGGACGGCTGGACGCCGACGGCCCTGACCGCGCCGCGCCCCAGCTCAGCCTGATGCCCGCGCCGGTGCCGCTCCCTCGCTCCTGCTCTTCTGCTCGCTCGCCCCGCTAGCCCGCTGTCCGGTGAGCAGTGGCCACTAGGGTATGGATTTGGCCGATTGGGGAGGATTGGGGATTTTGGGCATCGGGGAACTTCGCGAATTGGTGACGCACTTCGGCACTTGTGGAGAAATAGGCCGGGCGATAGCGGAAATCTTAACCGTGCGCCGATGGTTTCCCGCCGCGCAGAGGATTCCTGCGCCGATCTCGCTTCGTCCGTTAGCATGCGGCCCAGATCGAATGATTCTGCTGGACACAAGATGACTGCACGCAAACTGGCAAGATGCAGGATTCTCTGGTGCGAGCAGGTAGGCAGTACGTGTTTCCTTTCTCTTTTTTTTCTTTTTTGTTCATGTGGTTTTACTTTCACTTTTTTATTTTTTCTATTTTTCTATTTTTGTTTATTTCTTGTTTATTTTCTAATTATATTTTTTCTTGTCATTCATGTTTTTCATTTTTAATCTTTTCTTCTTTTTTTTCTTTTTATCCATTTTTCTTTTCTTATTATTTTTCTTTCTTTTTTTTCCTATCCTTTGTATTTTCCGTCCATCAATTTATCTTTTATTTTTGTTTTATGTGAATTGTTATTATTTTTTATTTGTTACCTTTTACTAACAATTAGTCTAATTATATAAAAAAAATTGTATTATAAAAGTAGTTACATTAGATTTGTATTTACAAATCCTTTCTAACGAACAAACTGTTGTTCCTATAAATTATGTAATATAAGAGAAATTATAGGTCAAAATATGTTCTTGAAGACCACACTAAGTCAAATCACACCTTATATTCAGGGATGGAGGGAGTAGGTTGCACGTGTATATTTCAAATGGTTTAGCTAGTTCAAGCTGAATGGCAAGTGGCCTAGAGGGGGTGAATAGATTTTTTTCTAAAATTTAATCAACTTTACGAAATCAGTCAGAACGTGGAACCTCCGGGTATGATCACGGAGGTTCCAGGGGGCGGAAGTTCCGGGACTAAGCATGGAACCTTCGGGATTAGAGTATGAAATCGATCTACTACAAAATTTAACGAATGAAAAATAGATCGAATATAATACCAGCTTTCTTGGGGAGTGTGTTGAGCTATTCAAACAGTCAGTTGCACCTAGAAGATGAGAAATTCGTAGATCGGATGCAAACCCTAAAAATCAATTCAAATCACAAGTAATAGCAACAACAGCAAGCACAGAGGATACGGGGATTTATCTCGTGGTTCAACTCGCCACAAAAGTCTATCTACGTCCACGTTGTTGAGATTAGCCACAAAGGCTATGGAGTCTCTTTCAACTCACTCCTCTTCTCCAACCTATCACCAAGGCAATGGATTGGATGGTTCCACTAAGTCACAAAAGGGTAATACAAACATTCCAGTGCTCAACCATAGCGGACTGGGAGCTACCGGGCGACTGCTAGCGCGTCTAGAAGCCAAGCTCCAAGAGAAACGAACACACCAAGCGGCTAGAGCTTCACAAAGTGCACAACAACGGAGGAGAAGGATCTTCTCGAGCTTTCTCACACTCTCTATAGCCAAATCCCTCAAGGAATCACAAAGATTTGAGCAAGGAAGTTGGGAGCACCAAGCTTGAAGAGAGAGAGCTTCTGTTCGTAAGGAATGAAAGGAATAGAGAAGATAACCGTTGGGGGCGAAGATGTATGGTATAAATACCACCCACGTCACCCATAAAACGGTTGGGTCTGACAGACCCCGGAGCCTTCGCTTTTGAGCGCGGGTCGGAGCAGATAAGAATTTAGCTCGGCTGGCTTTTTGTGGCTGGGATTATTTGAGATGTAGATAGAGTTTTGAGCACTTGATTCTCCCCAACATACCATTAGTATCCCCTTGATAGTATGGCTTGTCCTATGACTCAATTTTAAAATATAAAATAAATTAAACTAGCTCTTGGAGTCATTACAAGCCATCCATTCGAGTTGGGGGTCTCCTCCTTTGTTTCTTTGCATCCACGATTAAAGATATGTTGTCAAACACTTTTCAAAGCCATTAGTCCTTTAATTTTGTGGTCAACATCACCAAAACCCGCTTAGAGCTAGATTGCACTTACACAAACATATGTAGCAAATGTTTTACCTGGATGTTGCATATATTGCACTGCCTATACACGCGTTGCAAGTGTATGTTTCAAATATTTCAGCTATTTCAACCTTATGTTGCTATTATTTTGTCTGGATATTGCATATGTTGTAGTAGCCATACACATATGTTGCAAGCATATGTTCTAAATGTTTCATTTGTTTCAGACGTATAGACGTACGCTGCAGCAAATGTTTCATGTTGCAAGTGTTCCATGAGCAGGCGCGAGAAGTGGGCATAGGCGGAGGTGGTCACCGCGGGCGCATAGCTCCCACGTGCGCCTAGGAAGTGAAGTGGGGCGCGGCGGCCCCCATGTGCATGCGCAGCAGCAGCGCACGGCGGCGACAGTAGCAGCAACGCGCGGCCAGGCGCTCCCACAACGTGCGGGCAGGTGAGCAGGAGCTACATGCATATGCGTGGGCAGACAGGAGGCGCGGGCATCAGGACACGGCGTCCGTCCAAATATCCTAGCGCTAGCCATGAGGTGAACTGAATGCTATGCCGTATGCCCGTATTACCGGTAGCCCAGTACTACATTTATATCTATCATGTACATTCCATTTCCATATATGTTTGCCAATAGAAGAGGAAGAAGAAGCAAAAGGTCAGTAGCCGCTGAAAATGGCTACTCTCAGGTTCCTGCTTGTCAAAGGAGCAGCCATAATCTGGCTGCTTCCTATCCTTCACAACATGCCATCGGTATGTTGTAGCGATTATTTTTAAAATTTCTTTTAAAAAAGGATTTAAAACATTGTCCATGCCTCGCCGCCTTGGTATCTTTGTTGGGCCACCAAATCGTTAATGAATGAGATGCTAATTTTCGGTTTCCACTTCTCGGTCCAAATTTCGCCGTCACCCTATTCATGCATCATTCATTCATCGGGCATCCTAGTGCCGGGACGTCCAGCGCAAGCGCTACGTCCGGACGCCGCCCTTTTCCCAAACCCCCCCACGCCGCAGAATCGGATCCCAACCCCCCACCCCCACACCGCGTCCTTGTCCCAAATAACACGAAACACTTCAAGTGTAATATCGCAAACATATGGAAAAACTATATAGTGCAACATCGGATATAAATACTGCAACATAGCAAAAAAAATATGTAGTACAACATCGAAAAACATGTACTGCAACATCGGAAAAATATGTACTGCAACAAAAAAAATTATGTACTGAAACATCGAAAATTATGTACTGCAACATCGCAAAAATATGTACTACAACATCGAAAAAATATGTACTGTAACATCAAAAATTATGTTGCTGCAATATCGAAAAATATGTACTACAACATCTCAAATAGTAGTACTGCAACATCACAAAAACATTTGTTGCAATGACCCAAAAATCCCATTGCAACATTCGGAAATCATCTGTTGAAACATAAAAAAAAACATTGCAACACGGGAGAAATAGCAAAAAAACATACAAAACAGCCCCTGACCCATCACCTTCAAGCTCGCTGGAGGGAGGAGGGCATAGTATCCTAGCCACCGCCGCGTCCCTAAGATCCAGAGGAGGAGGAGGAGGAGGGCTGAGATCCAGAGGAGGAGGAGCACTCAGATCCAGAGGAGGAGGAGGGCTCAGATCCAGAGAAGGACCGACCTATCTCGTCGAAGCAGCCGCGGTCGTCCTCGTCTTCGGTGGGGGAGGGAGGGAGTGAGCGCGGGCGGGCGAGCGGCCAGCAGTGAGGCAAGCGCATGGCGCGGCATCCATCCCGGGGCCGTAAGGAGGCCCGGAGAGCTGTGTGGGGGGGGATGAGTATGGGATCGGAATAAAATGGGATGCGTCCGGTGCGCGAGTCGAGGACAGACCTCCTAATAGAATCATTATCGTTCATTCATTCGTAAGCTGTTTTCTTTCTGGCAAGCATGTTTGTTCTGTTTCGTGTTGGGCTTTTCGTCTCATTAGTCGGCTTCGGTTCGGCCCATTTTATCAGTTTTCTTCCTTCCTTCCTTCCTTTACTTTTTGTTGCAGACTTGATGTTAGCCTGCTACGGACTACAAGAGTGGATGCGCGTTTTAGATGAGAGATATTTAAATGTATGGCCCTCAAAATAACGTGTCTTTCTTTTATGGTATGTATTTTTCGAACTTACCTGTAAGGCTTAAAAACGAAATTCTCTTTACCTGTATGGTCTTCCGTCCATTTCTGGCACTTAACAATGTTAAGTCAAGGGTAAAATGACTATTTTACCTCTAGCGAGAAAACAAAGCATACAATGGGATCACATGTAGCAAGTGAATTCAATATGCATATCACAAATCAAAGGTTGAGCCTTCTTTTGATGCGTGCACTAAACTCTACACTTTGTTTTTTCGCTAGAGGTAAAATGGTCATTTTACCCTTGACTTAACACCGTTAAGTGTCAAGAATGGACGAAAGGCCATTTAGGTAAGAGAATTTTATTTTCAGGCCTTACCGGCACGTTAAAA